GGTACATATACACCAAGTATCAAAGCATTCAGGCTTGTAGTTTTCAAGAAGAAGTCGAAAAAGTAAAACATTGACACGGACGACGGACGCCGGACGATGACGGACAATCACTCATATGATAAGCTCCGCTCGACAAAGTCAACAGCAGAGCTAAAAAAAGTTTCTAATACTATTTGAACTAAAAAATTAGGCACTTTTTTGACATGGCCTAAAAGATATTTTGATTAAAATGAGAGAGATTTTCACAGCAGATTATGCTCACATTATTGCCACTAACCTTGACCCTAAAGCTGTCATTGTATCCAATTATATGTATTTTATCTAGTATCACATCCAAGACGGGCTTTTGGGGTGTTGAACAGAGACAAGAATCAAAAATTGATCTAATACTATCAGATCTGTTATTTAAATGATTTTTAATAAGGCATTAGTTGCTAGGTTAACATGGCAGTATTTTACCGAAGTCAAACTATCGCCCCCCCCCCCCCCCCAATTATTACCTTCCTTACGTTTATTCAATTGAGGCTTAACGTGGTCTGAAGTTCGACCTGATTAGTATAGAGCCCGCCTGAAACTTAACATGGGGTCCTTTCTTCAGACAATCAGGGCCATATCAAAGCTTAGTCCTATCAGGGTTCAACCCTAAGGGTTTATAGAAACTAAAGTCAGCTAAGCAAAGCAAGTTTACACAGTTTACAATTTTCGCTAGCTTAAGCTATTGAGCTCCAATAAAATCCTGTCATGTAAATTAGGTATACAGGTAGTATATAAATAATGTCAATACAGTATAGTATTAAATTAAGTTATAAATAAATACGACAATAACAAATATGGTACAGACATAACGGATAGAGCGTAACTCTGCATGTACGTGATGTATCAAATTGTCTTTAGCAATCATACATCATGATCATCACATCAACAGAAATATTCTACATTTACGTTGTCAAAATTTTTTCACATTATCATGATTTTTTTTTTACTTTTTTTGTTAATTTTGGACCAAAAGGACATAATTTCCCATAAGCTCAAAATCTAAATAAAAAAATTTTGAAAAATGATACTGGTTTATTTGTGAAAGAAGAAAAAAGTAGACTTAGGTGTTCTAAGAATTAAGTACTGTGGAATACTTTATTTTCGCTGGAATAAATTTTCGCTGAAAAGGCTTTTTGGGCGTTTTGCTTGGAATTTATTTTCACTGATTTTTGATGAGTTTAATGTGAAGTATAGGAAAAAAGTAGATTTGCTGGATTTTATTTTCACGGAATCATCCCTTCAGCGAAAATAGCGAAATTAAATTCCAAGCGAAAATATAGTATTCTACAGTATATTCTTTGCATCCAAATCTTCCTCTCATATTGACCTAGATATGAATGAACTTTAATATTTTTATGTATGTTGTTATTGTATGTGTAAAAGGTCAGTGGATCATTGGGAGGTCTAATTCTTGGCAACACACACAGCATGGAAGCAGATACCATAGTTAATACGTAATCAATGTATCTATTAGATTATATTAATTAGTCGTATGCGAATGGCCGATGAATTTGTTGTATTCATGCAAAGAGATCCGTCAAAAACAGGGAGTGAAATTTCACCAGCATACACATTGTACAAGATGGTTTTAAAAACTATACCTGCACCAAAGTACTATAAAGTAATATGCACCAAATATGTCAATTCCTTGTCATCCAACCGTGCAGCGGTTTGTGGACGCGTTTCTCTAGGACAATATATTCTTGTATAGGGTCTTCGATGAATGATCAAAAACCAACCACAGGAATCATTATCATTATCATTATCAGTATGCAGCGGATGTGCGGCGTACTGTCTGAGTGCATATTTTGAGATATCCTTGTAATAACCTTATTATTATATATCTTTTCCCTGAAAGGATACACCATTGGGAATATTGCTTTTGTGTCATTGGTGGCTAGAATAACGTACACATCAGGTTTCAGGCCTATATGTACATGTATAGGCTGAAACACAACATGCACAGTGCAGCGTGCATCCAAGCATTTCAAAACCTAGATTGGTACAAGGAATGCTGTAGGTTCGGCCAGCACACACACATACACCCCCCCCCCCCCCTCAATCCAACAATAGAAATCTTGTAATGGAGGAAAGCCTTCTCAGATTACAGTGAAATCTTAGCAACCAAATAAAAGACAAAAATAAAACACTTGAGAACAGTACTTTTAAGGGAGATGTTTATTTCTCAACTATCGGTACTTAACCTGGAACTGAGTCCGGAACCCTCCTGAGATGCAACATACAATGTATCATTATCAGTATGTAAATTGACTAATAATAATGTCACTGCCTCAAATCAAGAATATATATCCTATAGAATGGGGATGATGATAACTCACATGAATAAGTTCAGTTTCAGTACCTTATTTGTGCATCATAACTAGCTTGTTTTGTCCAACAATATGCAAATTTCATAATTGATATGACTGACACAAAATTATAAGACAGTACAGGTGGAGTATCGACCGATGCGCAGCGGATGTGCGGCGTACTGTCTGAGTGCATATTTTGAGATATCCTTGTAATAACCTTATTATTATATATCTTTTCCCTGAAAGGATACACCATTGGGAATGCCGAAATCCAAAATGTTTAGAACAGAATCAGCGAACTTCTTTGTGTTGAGTACGGTCAAACCCTTGTGGCAGCCATGTTTGTTTTTATTATTAGAGGACGTTTACGCACGTAACATTCCATATATGGAATTCGCATTTCCTAATATGGTAGGATGAAAATACCCCATAAAATACCGTAAAATTACAGCACGCTGTAACTTGTGTCGTTACGGTGACAGATGTATAATAATAATTTATTTGGACCCAGTAGATATAGATATAAATGTGCATATGGTGTTTACATCAGGTTAGCCACAAATGTGAACAATAAACAGTTTTTATAAAATTAATTCCCTCCAGCGAAGGAGCTTTTTTGTGACACAAATGGCCAAGGCATTCACAGCATAGATACTGTTTTGATCTGTCACCATCTGTCAATAGAAAATAGTGTTGTTTTTCTATACTATACCAAAGACATGTTAACAACGTATGAATGGACAGAGCCTTTAGAAAATAAAAACATTTTTAGTCAAATTGGTCAAGTCACTATTTTGACAAAATTCCAGTCTACCGTAGGTAAGTAATACAACAAAGCATATATAACCACTGGTATATTTTTTGACAATAAATTAGAATAAAAGTTACTTCACAGTGAATTTTGCCTCAGAAACCATATTCAAAGTTTGGAGTTTTAAATTTATTTAATGCACTATCGAAAAATAAAATTTAATTGGTTGCACTCGCCATTTTTTCTGAAGGAATGATTCAGTGATAATAAAATGCAGCGAATATACCTTTTTTCCTATATTTCACATTCAACTCATCAAAAATCAGTGAAAATAAATTCCATTCAAAACACCCAAAAAGCCTTTTCAAGCGAAAATTAATTCCAGCGAAAATAAAGTATTTTACAGTACTTAATTACAAACGACTGCTAGATGATAATAAATCCGGAAAGACGGCCTGACAAGTATGACAATTATGCAACTTACTTCTGTGTGAATACATACCACCATGCAGTTGCCAGGGCAACCATTTATAAAAATACAATCTAACCTACAAACAATAATGTTGCTTCTTTCAACACTTCAATGATTTCAGAATTTTGAAATCATCTTTTGTAGACTCCCCAGTGACATAATACGTCATAGATAATACTGCTGTCACATACTAGTACTATATTTGTAGTATTGTATGAGTTTACATAAATGACAATGGTATGTCTATGATCTTTAATCATAATTTAATAATTCAGTTTATGATACATGTCATTTTAAAGTTATGTACACTTCCATTGAATATGCGCTTCTTTAGCTGTAGTACACTTTGTACTGAACTGGGTTTATACAGATATCATTTTTGTAATTACATATAAGAACTAGTTAAATCACTGACATGTTATGGTCATAGCATATAAACTTGAGTGGTTTAACTAAGTCGTTCCAAAGTAGTTTTGAATTGGCGAATTTCAGCCAAGAAAATTGTTTTTGAGATTATATTTAGCTTAATTATTAGCATTGTCAGTACATCTTTTAATTTTAACCCTTATCAGTCTGGTCAAGTCAATGAAAAAGTACAAATGGCTGACAGGATAAGGGTTAATACTGTAGTGTTATTATTCAGAATAAAGACAATTCTATTTTGCCTGATACGAAAAATCAAAGCATTGACCTCCAATTTATGCCAATTAGTGTAATTTTTTTTTTATTTTATTTATTTATTTATTTATTTACAAAGTTGAATTGTATCTGCAACATCAACCAACCATTGAGCAGTGTTTAACCAGATCAGGAGGCTCAGTGAAGATGTAATATATGTATTACTAAAGAGCGTCGGAAATATGTTAAGACTAAAGTGTCAAAGACCTTAATATTTTAATATTGTCAAAACATAGCGAGGTTCGCCTCATTGGTGAGCCTATCGTCGGTATCCGGAAGTGATCAATACATGGAACGCGAAAGGTATTTGCCACACAACTCGCCTGGGCGTCATTTTGATTTTACTAAAACAGATGTTGTCACGGATCATATGACACTAGTGACAGCATAAACGCGCTGCTCATCT